GTATACCCAAGTCTCCCAGTGCCATAGCAGTGTATATGTGGATTTACAACACTAGAAACCGGGTTTCGATACCCATGGTGGACAGAGCCCAGATAACTTATTGTGTAGTTTTGTGCTTAATTCCAAACAAAAAAAAAGAAGAAAGAATGTATACTTAAACAGAAGAAATAAATTCTCAAGACCATTTAGGCATTCTACACACTGCTCTAGAGCCTCTTTAAACATTATACATTTATCTAAATATAAATAATATTTTCTTGATGTTTTTGACATTTTACACATACCTCAAAAGAAGTAATATTTTCTGCAGAGTATCATTAAGTATTCTGCACGTAACCAGACAGAAGTAATGTATCATCCACATAATTTTTTTTGGCATTCTACTCGTACAAAAATAAATAAAAAGTAATTTCTCCAGAGTATCGTTTGGTTTGCAAAAATTTCTTCGGGAAATTTCTTGTATGACTTTAGTTGAATTATGTGGTGAAAAGAAACAAAGTAATAAAATACATTTCGTTAATTCTATTCTTTAATTCTTTTATAATCATTAATGAATAACTATTCTTCCTAAATATTTTCTAGTTTTCCAGGGTTTAATACTATTCTATTTTATTCATTCAGTTATTGTTTTTGTATGTTTGATAGAGGTAACACTGAAAGACTACGATTATATCTTTCGTGATGATGTGATTGGAACACAGGAAGTAGATCTAAGCACTTTGGAGCCAAACAAAGCAGTAAATGTTACTGTCTCTTTACATGATGTAAGCCTAGTTTAACTTTTTATCATTTTTCATTGGAAAAGTGAGTTTACTTAGTTGTTTATTTTGGTTTTGTTTGTACGAGAATGTGTTTAGATCTGGTTTATCCAACTGGTTTTCCATGAGACTACTTTAAGTGGCCCACGGATCACCAGACAAAAATTAGCAATAATGAAATAAGTAACATATTAAGCTAAAAAAAAAGCTTAATTTTAGTACCTTTTGAATTTGGAACTTAGTTGCTTAGTGTTTGTTACCAATTACTGAATTACTTTAGAATTTAATGCCAATAAACTTTAAAGGCAGATTAAAAACATTTTTCTTCATCATTAACCAGCGTTGAGCCCTAAGATTGCACTCAAAATATTATGTGACTCACTACAATTGTGAAGTTTGACAATCTTATTTTACATAGAAAATGTTCCTTATTGCTCGGTGTATATAATTTAATTGGAGATTATTGCACTTTGATCGGCGAGATGGGATTAATCTGCAGGGTTTTTTGATGGCAGATATCTTCTGTTTAGAATATTGAGATCCTGAATATAAAGCCTGTCAGGTAAATTTTTCATCTTAGTTTTGTTGATTGAATATCGCATTAAAAAAAAAAGTTTCGGGGGATAAGTGGGAGCAGGTACTTAGCATGCTCACACACACCTTTTGTTTGTAACACTCCGAGTGTTATGAAGTAAGTAAAGAAATAAATGTCTTGATTGATCAGTGACAAGAGCTTGTGGATCTAGATTGTATCTAAATGTTACAGAGATGTATCTATATTGTTGTGGATAACTTGGGTCTTTTTTTTTAAGTTTATTTTCTGAAAAAATATTTTGTGCAATATTTACTAAATGAAAATAAGTTTTTTAAGAATTTGTGCAATTTTACAGGAAGTTATTGATACTTTATTTAATTTTTCTTGTTGTTGTGTACATGTCATGAATGTTGTTACACTAATGTTATAAGAAACATAAAAAATGGTTCTGACACCTGAGCTGAGCACAGAAGAGATAGTCCTTTGTGTAGCTATGTGCTAAAAAACAAACTTGTTTCAACATAGATAAGATAATAGTAATAAAAGAAAAAAAAATCCATGTTTGCTTCTGATAAAGAGGTCACTTTCTGAAGTGCTTGACCTTGAGGACTTTTATCACAGTGCTATTTATCTCTTAAAATGATTGCACATGTCATGTAGTATTTTATATACAAGAGCTTAGAGGTTTACTACTTAGAAAAGGACAGCCTAAAATGTATTTGTAATAATTAAAAAACAAAAACACTTCCTTAGTTTTAAAACTAGAACCTGAAGTTTTAACTCATCTTAAATCCACAATGTTTTGTTTGAACTGTCTATTATAACAGTTATTTATGTCTTTAACTGTTTGAGAAAGTTATATATGTATTTTATAATGCTAAATTCTACAGTGATGCACTTTTTAATATTGTTTGGTTTTAAAAGCTCATTTAAGATTATGAGTGGGTGTAAAATATAGGTTATATAGTTGCTTATTTGTACATCTCTAATTTTTATATATTTCCATATTTTATGTAAATTGTCTTTGTTTTTTATATTTGTGAACAGTTGAACTTTAATTTTATTACATACATACTTAGTTTTTTACTATAGCAACAGATTGATATAAAATAATAAACCAATGGAAAAACGGTTACAGTAAGTAACTTCAAAGGCTAATTGGCTGAACATAAGTGCTCTTGGAGCATGTAATTTTAATTTTTTACGTACATACTTAGTTTTTTACTATAGCAACAGATTGATATAAAATAATAAACCAATGGAGAAATGGTTACAGTAAGTAACTTCAAAGGCTAATTGGCTGAACATAAGTGCTCTTAGAGCATGTAATTTTAATTTTATAAGTTTAATACATTTATTACTGAAATCAAAGTTTTTCTTTGTATATTTTTGTATCATTCCAAGATTTTTCATGATAATATAAATAATTTTTGTTCTTTCAAAACCTAATTTCTTATTTTTCTTAAGTATCAATCTCTTAGACCCTTGCTGGTTCATCTGGAAGTCAAAAGTTTCAATACCCACTGTTGGAAAAGCACAGATAGCCTATCGTTTATCTTTGTGCTTAACAACAAACAGACAATTAGTCTTTTAATCTAATGAGGTTGCATTATAGCTACTTATACAACAGAGCTAAGCATGTTCTACATCATTTATAAATGGAGTACTAGAGATTGAGATACTCTTGATGTCTTTCATATTTTAAAGTTTTTCTCAGAATTCACCTGTTACAATGTTTTTATTATGTGACTTGATTAAAAACAATTTTTATTATGACAGGCTGGAGAAATATCACTAAATCTGAAGCTTGAGCTGAAGTAAGTTTTTATTTTTGCCATTTTAAGGTTACGGTAATTTATAAATTTCTTTTGTATGAATATATTGTTTATGTTTCAAACATTTTCCTTTTTGAATATATTGAGAAGTTTCAGCACTCCTTACGGTATGACAGAAAAACAGTGTGTGTAAATAAATAAAATCCATTAAATAAGTAATTTAGTAGATAATTAATTCGTTTTAAATCTTGTTTGAATCTAGAAATAATGTTATTAAAAAAATGTAATAACTAGGAAATCTTTATCTATCTAGATATAATTTAAGGATGAAAAGGGATTTTTTGGTTCATCTAGGCCATCCCATCCACTAAACTAAAACTTAAAAATAAAGCACTCAAAGCCAGCCCTTATCATTCAAATAGTTATCAAGCTTTCTCTTTTGAACTCCCTTAAGTTAACTGCTTCCGCTACATCTGAAGGCAACCCATTCCAAAGACCAACCATCCTGTTAGAAAAACAAAGCCTTATTAGCTGAAGATTGCTCTGACTCTGCCAAAAGTTATATATTGTGTCCCCTAGTCTTACCATTCTCACCATTAAGTACAGAAAAAGATAATGCATCAATACCATCAATTCCATTAACAATCTTAAACACTTCCATCAGATCTCCTCTTATTTTTTCAAGAGAAAACAATTTCAGAAATTTAAACCAGTCCTTGTATGACAACCTTTCTATGCTAGGTATCATCCTATTAGCTCTCCTCTGAACCATTTCTAACAGTTCAATATCATTCCTAATGTTAGGCATCCAAGACTGAACAAATGTGGCCTAACCAATCACTTGTACAAATAAAATTATAACCACTTTAGACTTGTAATAAGTAACATCTTCTAATTGTAACAGTTGTTAGAACATGTTTGAATTCATTTAGTGTTTTTATTAACACTATTGCTACAGAATTTCTTTGGGCACAAGTAAAATTTTCTAAATAAAATGGTTAGTATTGTAAAACTTGGTTAAATGCTTTAGTATTTTGTATATGTTACACTAGCTACTAATATGTTTATTTACTGAACAGTTTGTGTTAAACTTGATGCAGATTTATACGCAACTTTTTTTTTGTAAGGTAACACATCTGTGAAAAGGTGTTGGTTGTCATGAAAACAAATTTAAATAAAAAAAAAAAAAGTTTGTAACAGCTGATGCTAATAAACTTGTACTGAACATAACATATTTTCTGTATTTTATTTCATCAGTACTGTTACTGAATTCTAAATACTAACCTGCTGTTTACATATTTAGGTAATAGATGAAACTGTGCAGTTTTAACTAAATAGTGGAGATTTATACGTACTGTAAAATGTGTTTCATTCTTTCTTTTTTTTTATATGTAATGAATAAAACTGGCATAATACTTTGTCTTGAAACAAGCACCAAGCCTGATCTCAGATATGAACTTGGCCTGTGTGAAGAGGAGTTGGAATTCTTGAAACATCGAAAGCACAGGGTTTTAAAAGGACTTCAGGCATTCTTGGGAGAAGATGGTGTGGATGATGAAAATGATGTAAATAAATTATCAAAATATGAAAAATTACTATACCACAAATGTTCAAATAATCTATATAACATAAATATTTTTATTTTATAAAGAGAAGTTTTCTATCTGTAATTCGGTGAGTTTTGAAAAATATATTCTTAATGAAGTTAATTTCTACAGCTGCATTTTAATTTGGGTTGTCTGATTTATGGCAACATGTTTAGACGTTTTTGAAAATCTGATATTATTATTATTTTATTTTTTTAATTTGCTTAATATTAATTTGATATACTTTAACCTGTTAGTCTTAACTAACATAGAGTAACCTGTCAGTGGTAGTTGGTTAATTGTATTATGTTTTGCTTCTTTTAAGGTAATGAGAATAAAAATTTGGCTTCTAAAGAGAGGATATTATTTCCAAAATGTGCATTAATAGTTTAAGTAGGTTTATGAAATAGCTGTCAAAGACAAGAAATTCCAAAGTATGTTATTCAAAAGCTGGTGTATGTGTTTCTAATTTTTTTTTTTGTATACTGTAAGGAGGTGAACACCCACAAATAGCTCTATACATAGGTGCATTATTTATCTCTTGGACGTCTACTTGTTCCATGTTGTGATAAATGACTGCAAGGGGCATGGTAAAAAATTGTATTATCTCAATGATTATCTCTTTGTAAAAGGATTTTACAAACTATATATTCCTATAAAAGGCAGACAAGCTTTACGATTGTATTTGATACAATATTGAACACTTAAGGTTCATTAGTTATTCTGAAAACAAATTATCATTGTTATAATTACCTATGTATCTTTTAATCATAAAGTTTAAAATTCTTAGGCTCCAGTAATTGCTGTCATAGGATCTGGAGGAGGTTTTCGTGCACTTACTTGCCTCAGTGGTGTCTTCAAAGGTCTTTCGGAAACTGGACTTTTAGACTGTGCAACTTATGTAGCTGGGTTGTCAGGTTCTGCTTGGTAAGATTTATGTAGACTGTATATACATATGACTGCATTTACTGAGGGTCTTAGGTATTTCTTGTAAGTAAAGCTTAATTTTGTTAGATACTAAAGAATATCTTCTATCAAGTTTTATTTTTCAATGTAGTTTTGTGGAAAATATACCTGATTTGAGTATCGCATAACTTGTATAAATAAAGTGAAAAAAATTTCATGCAGGTTATACCTTTATCCTGAAGTTTAAAGATGTTCCTTGTAGATATATTTTTATCTAAGCTTGTATCAACAAAATTATCTCATTAACTTTAGTAAGAAACAGTAACTGATAATATACTTGTGTAGTACGAAATGTTACCATGCGTTTTCTACTCCCTTGCTAATATGTGAATTTTTTTATAAATTTCTGTTATGTATGAACACAAAATTGCTCGGGTAACATCTAAATCTTCCTAATTCTTGGTCTGCTATGACGTGGCTTCACTAATTGTCAATTAACCACATTTTTGTTCTGAAAAGAACTTGTGATGTCCCAAACTAGAAGGCTGTTTTTTGCTGTTTGTGAATTGGTCGATCGAGGACAAGTGAAAGGAGTTCGCACGAAGAAGAGATTTTATGTACACACTGACTCAAATTTTACTATATTTTTTTTTAGTATTAAAAACCAGGTTCTCCTTTGTTTTAATAGATTTAGATTTTGCTGAACTTTGTTTAACTTTTAATAAAATTTTTACCAATGTTTGTAATTTTTTTTGTTTCAACTTTGGGTCTATTTTTATTTTGTAACTTTTTTTAGTTTAGCTTACAGTGGAGGGTGCACACACTAAACTAACGAGAGATGATTCACTAAGGTTTCACTTCTATTCTTTCTCTCTTGCCAGTCCAACAAAATCACCACAGATCCACTTGCCTCTGTTTTTGTTTTATTTTGTAATAGTAACTGCATTTGTGATTCGGTTCTGTTTAAATAAAGATTGTTAGGCACCATCCATATTTTGACTCTTTATTCTCAACGAACTCAGTCAAGAGTTCAGAGAGATAATTATATGTGCACTATATCTTAGCATCTTTTGAACCTCCAGTTAGCGAGTCTCGGCAAGAAATCCATGTACACTTGGTGTAGCTCAAGAAACTGATCATTACGTACTTTATTCAAAGATCATGTTAGTTTTAGAAAAACATTATATCTGTACCTATAACTTTCATTTCAAAATCAGTTTCTTTTTTTTTCCTTTTATAATAGGTTTATAAAAGTTAAAATGTTGGATTTTATTTTATTTATTTATTATTATTATTATTATTTTTTTTTTTCAGGTATCTCTCAGCCCTTTACAGTCATCATGAATTTCCTGTTAAGGGTCCTGGTGATATCCAAAAGTATTTAAGAAATTGTATAAGCCAAAGTCCATTCCGACTACTTGGTCCTCATAGATTTTTTCCCTACATCAACAGTATCTTGACTAAATATAAGAGGGGCCAACCTGTCAGTTTCACAGATTTTTTTGGTCATCTTCTTGGTGATACGCTCTTAAAAGATGTAATTCTTTTTATAAGTATTTTCATGGGTATTTAAATATTTTTGTAAATAAACAACTATAGGTTTTATATCATTGGGTAAGTGACCCGAGTCTTTAAATGTTTTATTTTAAATTTGTATGCAGAGTTTTCATGCTGCCTTCAATTAAGAACTGAGAAACTTTAGGTGTACATCAATTTTTCAGTGAATCAATTATAATCAGCTTTTTTTTATTTTCATTGGGATGTCAAAATAATGTAAAAGTAGGCCAAACATCTAGTGAGATACCAATAAATATTGTGAATTTTGTGGGTAAAGAATATTGTTAATTTTTTTGCTTTACAGCAATTTTTAAACACTTGTTTTTATGTATTTAAATCAATTCTTTATAACCCTTTAATTTCATACTAGCCCCCCAGTGGCACAGCAGTATGTCTGCGGACCTACAATGCTAGAAACCGGGTTTCGATACCCGTGGTGGGCAGAGCACAGATAGCCCTTGTGTAGCTTTGTGCATAATTAAAAACAAACAAACAATTTCATACTAAAATTATAACCCTATTTACACCATTATTACATCATGTAAAAAATACTCCCTCTAGTGAATAAAACATTAGAATATTGAAAGTATAGTATAGCCCCCCAGTGGCACAGCGGTATGTCTGCAGACTTACAATGCTAGAATCTGGGTTTCGATACCCGTGGTGGGCAGAGCACAGATAGCCCATTGTGTAGTTTTATGCTTAACGGTACGCTGAGGCAGTGGAGATTATTTCCAGTACCAATTCTCCGTACATGTACTTTTCTTAAATTGAAATGTTTATCATGAACATTAATTAAGAAATATGGTAATGAGTTTGGATTTAACTTTTTTTCTCCCCAACAGGATTTGCGAGGAAAAAATAAAAGGTTATCAGAGCAACAGTCAAAAATTAATGTTGGACAAAGTCCATTACCTCTCTATACTTGTCTTCATGTAAAGAAAGATGTTGCTGCTCCTGTGTATCATGGTAAAATCTGTTCTTTCATTACTTCCAAATATTTCAATCTCTCGTATTCTTTGACATTTACTTAAACAGTTAATTTAGTGTATTATAATCTTATTTTGAGGAAATTTTCATCCAATATACTATAATTTTTTTTTCGCAAGTTTTGTCTTAATATTATACTTTAATGTTGTTTTTTAAATAAAAATAATAGCGAAACATTATGTTGATGTTCTCAAGTCCCCACCCTCTTACCCCCAAAAAGACAACAACAAAAAATCGAGACTAACTGTAGGAAATTAAATGAAATTTTTAATCACAAATGACTTATGGAAGCTCATTCTTATCATTGGTTTTCAAGAACGTTAAAAAATATTTTTTTATTATTATACACCTAACTATTGATATCTTTATAATACAGCACAACTGATTTTACTGTTTGAAGGCTATTTGAGAAGTTTAGTTTTGCACAACTATAACATTGTTTTCCAGAGTGGTTGGAGTTTTCTCCCTATGAAGTGGGTATTGCAAAATATGGGACCTTTATGAAGACCGAGCATTTTGGTTGCAAATTTTATAAAGGAAAAATCATTAAATTTTTCGAAGAGCAACCCCTTCACTATCTTCAGGGTAAGTTTTATACTTCTTGTTTCTTTTATTGTAACAGAAAGTGGAAATTTATAAAATATATAATGGTTGTGTACAATCAAGTGTTCAATCCTGAAAGGTTGTTAAACTTCAAAACTATTTTTTTTTTTCTGCACATATTCTTGGTGCTAGTGGGTGAAAAAAAAAAGTATCATTAATATGTTTGAATTAGTTATTTTTTAAATTGCTAGTATTGTATTTTCCATGTCATTGATGTATTTCAAGAAGTGAAAGAATCTGACATTATCCTCACTGCTGTTGAGAGTAAGAGTCTGGTATTACTCTTCACTGCTGTTGAGAGTAACTGTTAAAAAAAAAATATTTCGTGAAGAATTATATTGATATGTGTAAAATAATGATTTTTTTATCTCAAACATCTATTGTATAAGGAAGTAGGAAACAAGATTTATAGTACAAGGAATACCTCACAGGTCTTTTATCTATAATAATGTTTTTTCATAAGGGCTTATTGGTGAATTTTTTTTCTTTAATATAAGTTTTATAGTAGATGACTTGGAGAAGTGATTTGTATAGTGTTAAAAATTCGAAAAACAACTAAAGTGGGATAAAAAAAAAAACATAAGTTAAAAACTATTCCACCTCTGTTAATGTAGCATCAATAATAGTCACATGTTGATAAACTTAGTTAAGTGTTGTTTTTTTTTCATGAGGAAGCATATTTTATATGGAGTCATATTTTCATGTGTCAAAAGTGTTTTAATAACCTCTTCCTAATGTAAATCTCCAACTGTTTATTACAGGAGTGTGGGGCAGTGCTTTTACTATTCTGTTCAAGCGCCTCATACAAAACAAGACTAAGATTAGTAACTTGCTGTCCTCAGAACAAGAAGTAAATTTTGATGAAGTAGACTCTCCCAAGGAGAGTGGAAGCCAAATCAAAACCTGTAATGATGAAGAGGAGGAGTTAAAGAATTGTCTTGGTATGTTGATAACATGATAATCTTCCTGAAATGCATTGTTTGTTATTGTGCAGTGGAATGTTTTTGATATTAACCGTATGTAGATACGATGTTGATGTTTAAGGTAGTTTTTAACAGACGTATTTCATTCCTTTCCATTGGAGGCTTTTGTTTGTTTTAGCACAAAACTATACAATAGAATATCTGCATTTTATTAACTGCAGGGAAAGTTTGTTTGTTTTGAATTTTGTGCAAAGCTACACGAGGACTATCTGCACTTGTCGTCCCTAATTTAGCAGTGTAAGACTAGAGGGAAGGCAGCTAGTCATCACCCCCCAACTGCCAACTCTTGGGCTACTTTTACCAACAAATAGTGGGATTGACCATCACATTATAACACCCCCACGGCTGAAAGGGTGAGCATGTTTGGTGTGACGGGGATTTGAACTCGCGACCCGTAGATTGCAAGTCGAGTGCCCTAAACACCTGGCCATGACGGGCCTGCAGAGAATGACATCCCCAAGTTGTAGTATTTGGAGAATATAGAATGTTGTTGTAATTAGCAGGAAAATATCACAAAAGGTTAGGTTAATAGTAAAAAATTGTTTGGTCATGGTTTAATGTTTTTCTCAGTAGTGATTCTCTTTGAATAAGATAAATTTTTCTCAAAATCCAAACATTGATCAAAAGAAAAAATTAATTGTAATTCTTTATCTTAATTAATTGAGAAGGTGAAAATAATTGAGAAATTACAACTAAGAATGTATCAGATAAATAAATACATTTTCTATTGTTAATTGTGCAATCACTGTTTCAATAAATTGAGATATTTATACAAGTTTACTAAAATTGTTGAAATGAACTATTTACCTTCAATATGTTGATTACGTTTAGTCTTGAATTTGAAATCTTTAGAAAATGGTTACCTGATCTTAGATTTGCTGTTTCTTTTACATGTGTTTGTTTCACTGAAACTGTGCTAGTTTTCCACTTTGTCATTAACAACTTGAATGAGTTCATGATAGACATTTTATACCTAAAAGCTTTAAAACTGCAAATGTTATAATAACTTAGAATACAGGAAAATATATAAATATGAATTTAGCATATTAAATTTCATCCTCTGATACAAACTTAATTTTGTTTGTGTGTATTTGTGCTCTTTGGAATTCTGATGGGTGTTTTTCAGAACAACTTGCTATTGTGGAAACTGAAGAGACGGATTCCACAGAATCTTCAGACTCTGATGATGAGGATGAGACAGACAACCCTGAGTAATACTAGATTCCTTATTGTTATTGCGATTCAAGCCTATTTACTCACAAGTATATCATAATAAAGTTAAACTTGTAATAAAAAATACAACTTTTGAATATGAATCATCATAATTCTTTAAATATTGCATATTTTATGCTATTAAAATTACATATGAGCTTTAACAACATGATAAAGGTTGCAATTTAACTTTTCTTTTAGGTATGTATGTATTGCATTTCATGTACACAGAGCTGTATATCCAGATTATATAAGGTTATTAAACGTTACAGCTTCCTCAGGATTACTTAGTTTTTGTAGTGAATATTCAAATATGAGAATTTCTAATAATAAATGATTTTATAATGCTATAATTTTTTTAAAAATTTAATTGGGCACTCATTATTTTGCTTTACAGCTTTTGTTTTCAGGACTGTTTCATTAAAACTGGTCATTCTGTAGCTTTAATTCACAGTTCAGATTTCTTGTATATTGGAAATAGTTAAATCAATTAGAGGTCCTGTAAAAGGGTTTTTTGTTGTATCTTTGAAAAATTGTCTTTCTGTTTGTCTGTTTTACATGTTACAGGTGTGATGTTAATTCCCCCCCATAGTCCTTAAATTTTTTCAATGTCAAAATAAAGGTATTCATTGTTCACAGGAAGTATTTTAATTCAGAGCACGTAGTGTTTCATCTTTTTAATTATTCAATAATTGCACCTTTCTTGGAAGCTTTTGGATGATAGGAGTTGAAGTGAAGAAAAAAATAGCTGTTTCTAATTAGTATAGGAAACAGTAAAGATTGCATACTATCGTTATTATTGATCATCAAGGTAACATCCAAGAAAATTTTACTTCCATTGTCATTTGGATGAGAATTGAATGTTGATGTCTATGGAATTCGAAGTCTAGAAGTTTGAAAGAACCAACGCCATGGTTCCATATTCCAAATATGTCAATGATGTATCTAAGTCAGAAATCGGTGTCAGTATTGGTATATCTTGAAAGTACCCTTGTTTTAAAAAAAACGTGCATTAATACCAAGTACTCGGATACCTTAAACACTGCAACACCACTTTGTTTGTGTGATTTTATGTTATTTCACACACTGCATTGATGCCACCTTCTGTCTATAGAAAGTTACAATGTCTAATGTAAAGAGTATTTTTGTGTTTGTCACTATGCGAGATTCATTCTTGCCTTCATTGAAAATAACAGGTCTTTTATATTTTTCAAGTGTGCTAGAATGTAATTGTAATTAAAATTGTATGCATAGGGATAGACAGACTTTCGGTGGCACTGAATATATATATTAACTATAGAAATTTTCAAATAAGATTAGTTAAAATTGAAAAAGGTGAGAGGAATGTTGTATTCACATATTGAACTTTAGTTTAGAATTGTTTAATTGGTTAAGTAGGACTATTCATTCAGCTAGGTGAAGTGCTACAGATCTGATAGAGAATTTTTAAGCTAAGCCATGTTTTAAGAATGTTTTATTTTGTGTAATTTAATTGTAAGAACAAATAATTTTGACTGTTGAATTATATGTATTTAAACAGGACTGAGTTGATATAATGTTATTCTCATCAAATTTTCCCTGTGCATGAAGCATTTCAGATCCAAGGTCTGCATTACCCACTCTCAATTGTAGGCAAATTATTTATCTGAGAGCGATATTTGATAGAAACAACATGTTGCGAAGGAGGCAGTCTGTAACACATTGTCATTGTATGCTTGGCTTATGTCTACAGTTAAAACTTGTGGACATTATAAAAATAAAAGCTTACTTGTTATATTTTTCACCTGATCTATCTATGTGCATTATTAGTTTGTGAAGTGTGCATATATTTTGACATTGCCTATGATAATCATATACCAAAAAATTAGTTTAAGGAAGTCATTTTGATGTTACATGTATTGAAATTTACTTCTACATTTGCAGTAAGAAAGATACTGAATCTGAAGAGAAAGACGGGTATATCACCAAGACTTTCAATCAACTGATTGAGTCAGTCTGCAGCAGCTCGGTTTTCAACAACAGACGCGGTCGAGCAGGGATGATTTTAAACCCCCTCCTTGGATTAGCTCTCATTCCACTGAGACATTTTTCTCCAATTTCTCCAATCACTCCCACTGATGGTGAGTTTATACAGCTGGAGCACTGCTCCCACATATGACAAACTGAAATACTGCACTTACTGATGGTAGGTTGACACCGCTGTAGTTTTACTTCCTCCGACCATCTATCTATATTTATATATATATATCTATGTATATCTGCAATAGTTCATGCAAATACAGGAGAGACAAAATGTTCAATCTGCAATAGTTCATGCAAATGCAGGAGAGACAATGTTCAAACATTTCACGTGTGTGTGTTGTGTTTTCGTCAAACTTCTTATGTTAAATGTTTACACTTTCAGTAGCAAATCTCCTTCTTTTTTCCATGAAAACATACTTTGTTTTTTTTATTTGCAGCCTTGTTTTCAATGTCAGCACAACAGGTGTGGGG